CGAGGCCAGCGGACCTGGCTCGGTTAGAAAGGCGCCAATAATTACTGAAAAACACACACAGATGATGCCTGCAGCGGAGCCCCAGCAGCACCTCGTCAGAACGCTGGCACAGCGACGGGGTGACTCCAGCACCTCATAATGTCTGATTAATGCTCTGGCAAGATGGATGAAAGAGAGGCGCCGGCTTCATCGGGTTCTCCTCAGATTTTGGGTTTTCGAACACTGGATTTGGCTGATTGAACAGAAAGACCTCCGTCAGCGCTGAAACTTCTGGGGCTCTTCAGATTGAACAACACGGGCCAGTTGGTAGTTTGGATTCAGGTTCACAGCATCACTGTGTTCATGGCTTATTTAGCTGCTCCTGTATAATGCCAGTGAGTTACACAGCTCAGGTACGTGGCCCCACTCAGGTCTCTAACCACACAGAGCGCTGATCAGAGCGCCGTCCCATGCATCCCACATCACTGTTTGCTCCGCCGTCGCCTCCGTCTGTCAGAGTCCTGCTGGGGGACAGTTTTCCACCAGTTTGCGGCTCTTTGATGTTTGTCAGCTCCTACTGCTAGGTTTGCTGATTACGTCTTTTGTGGCGGCTTTGTGTTGGGCTTTTGAAAGGCTGCATGCGACGCCGAACAAAAGGCTCGTAGCTTCAGTACCAGAACAGAGCGCCGACACCATCGGGGGGACGAGGCTGCTGGATGGAGGCTCAGTGATGAAGGACTGCTGATGAAAAGGCATCGATTGATTCTCATCTACAAAAGTGTTCAGGATGCACTGAATGGACCCGACAAACTTTGGACTCAACTCCCCACGTTTGGGAAAAGGTGACATGTAGGCGGTGACTGTTTTCTACACTCAGTGGTCCGACAGTGACAGAAAACAAGAACCTGCAGTATTATAAATGAATAAATGAAGTGCAGCAGCTTTCCACAGCATTCACACACGATGAGCAGCTGTTTTACTCTGATTGACTCCAGTGTTGTAGGAACCTGGACGGTGGGCCTGGAAACTGAAACATGGAGTTCAGCCGTGGTTCATGTTCTTAGTCACTCCTGCACTTTTCATTCTGTGTCCTGTGCGAAGTCCGGCGGTCTGAGGGTTGAAAGCCAACGCCTGCCTGAATCACTTGCTACCAGGGAACCAGTGAGCGAACAGCCAGCACTGGAGCAGACGCCACACATTTCTCAGTCCAAAGCTGTAACCTGCACTCTGATGGATGTACAGCATCCTGGCTGGATAGTTCTTTAATATCTATGCATTGTTTCTGTTATGAACGCTCTAATTTACTGAAATAATTGCTGAGAGAGTTCATACCAGCTGCTGTTTTTCACTCTCAGTGTTTTTGCTCAAAGGGTTGTTTGTATAGTTCTGTCAGGTCCTAACCTTCATTGAACTGGTCAGACAACATGTCATGCTGTATATTCACTTTATTCAGTGAGTAAATATAATTAATATTTAGTTTATATCAATAATCAGGTACATTTATCACATTAATCATATTTCCCTGTTTCCCAGTCTGGCTCAATGTCTTGTGTTGTTAAATGTGGTTTTAAATAACAGTGACTTTTTTTTAACAGTCCAACCAAAATCTAAAATATTTAATACGAAATGATAAAATAAAATCAGCTAACCACCCAAAATTATGCAGATGTCGGCCTGAAATTGGAACATTTCATTTATTACATGTCCCTGAAATAAACCGTTAGCTCCAAAAAAAAAGTCCAAACTCTGCATTCTGGGGCACCTCGATGGCTCGGCTGGCTGAGCTGGTGCCCATGTGCAGGACTACAGGCCCGATGTGGAGGTCTGGCTGAGCTGGTGCCCATGTGCAGGACTACAGGTCCGATGTGGAGGCTGTCAGTTCCAGTCCCACTCATGGGCCTTTTTCTGCAGGTCCGTCCCCCATTCTCCTCCCCCACGTTCCTGTCTCTGTCTCTACTGCTCCATCAAATAAAGGGGAAAAAAAACTCCCAAAAAAATAACTTAAAAAGAAAAAGTAATTCTGCATTCATTGGCACAGCTGAGGAGCCTTTAATAGTTCAGCTGCAGCCAACAGTCACCTGACAAACATCCAGGAACCTGTGGGCTGAAGTGCAGGATGTGTTTCCACACAGCAGACCAGAGACATCGTGTTCAACATCCACAGCATGTAGAGGCAGATGTTCCCCACGTTTGTTAACACCTGTGTGTTAGGAAAAATGTTCTACGTATTAATTCAAGTCGTTTTTTTTTTCTTTTTTGTAAAATAAATAATGTAATTCAACATTTGTTTTTCTTTTTTTTTTTTTATGATTAATGACATTTGAACTGTGTCATCCTGCACAGAAGACTGTTTTTCTGTCTGCTTCTAGTCACGGTTGAGCTGCTTCCATAGACGTCTTTATATTCTAGTGGAAAATGAGGCATCAGTCAGAAAAAAAACAAAACAAAACATGACAGGAGTAAAATAAATAAAAAAAACCCAGAAAGCGTTTGGAGTTCAGAGGATGGACAGGAAGGCTGAAGGACCTTGAGAAACTTGTGCATGTTCTCCTCCTGAGTGGTGGACTGGAGCTGCAGACGGGTCGCCGTGTCGGGCTGCAGGTCAACACACACAGACACAGAATTCCCCACCGGGCCCGGCAATAATTAAAGAACCGTCTGGAAAAAAAAAAAGAAGAAACGCTGTTCTCCGTCTGCCTTCTCCTTGTGCTCCTGCTCTGGTTTGTAGGACACATTCTTCTCCCCGATTCCCAGATGACTTGTAGCTGGAGGTTAATGGAGTCTAAATGACATGTACGAGCACAGACGTGAGCGCTCACACTCGCTCCCGGAGGTCCGTGTGCTCTACTTGTGACGCTGCTATTATTGAGAATGAAAGAGGGAAGAACACAGATCCTCGGCTGTGGGTGGCTGTTCACAACCTTCAGACTTCACTGAAGAGTTCTGATTTTTTTTAGTACACAGATGAACTAGAAAAGCAATTTTCACTATACAATACATCCTGCTGCTGCCTGGGGGTGTGTGTATGCTCACACACACTCACACACACTCACACACACTCGCAGGTGCTTCTAATGAAGTGAAGCGCCGCCCTCGCTCAGACAGGAAACGTAGTTCGACATTAAAACAAATCAGAATGAATCTGTTTCATGTCGTCGCCTCAGCAGACCACAGAGGACTGTTGAGTCCACGGCTGCAGCTTTTGCTCTGTCGCATGAAAACTGGAAGGAAATAGGAGCTGAGATCCGGTTTCATGTTACCTGCCTGGTTCAGAACTAGAAGGACGGTTCTGTGTTTCAGGAGGTGACTCTTGTTGTTGTTCAATCTTTCATTCAGCTTTCTGGGTGACTTTGGCAGTTGCTGGACAACTTCTCTCTTTTTTGGGCTCAGTGAACCAGTTTCTCCAGTTCACGAGGTTTCCTGGTTTAGCAGCTTGTTGTACGGCAGACTTTGGTTCTGTCCACCTCCAGTCAGGTCACAACCTGTCACAGCTCAGGACATCCATAAGGTCGTACTTTGGCAACTGTAAAATATCTCCTGAAGTCATTTTCCATAATTACAATTAGTTTTGTAGGTATTTTACTGCAGATAATGTTTAATAGCAGATAAACAACAACAATACCTGCAGTACATATATTTAGATTATATGATGAAGAACTAATAATTCAGACAGTTTATCCTGTCAGGCACTGATGGAAACGCATTTAACATCACATTTATGTCAAATTACATCAACACTGCTTTTTCATTTTCACTATTTGCATCTAGTTTCAGAAACACATTCACAGCATTAAACTCCAGTTTTATCCGTTAAATAATAAAAAGTGTTTGTGAAATGAAAATGGGCCTGTGTGGTTATTTACAGTCGCAGGTTTTCAGTGTTATTTTACATCAGACACACAAATGCAGCCTGTTTTGTAATCTATGGGGTATTTTAGTGCATTAAAAACAGCAACAGCAAACATCTATATAATTAAAAAGTGAACAATATGTCAAACTACAGATTTAGTTGTTAATTCTTTGCAGTGTGCTTCTGGTTTAGTCGGCTGCTCTGATGCTTCAGCAGCTCTCTCTTCATTTCTTCAGTATGCTCCTAAAACATTATATACCTACTGTTTGTGTATTCTGTTGGACAGGACCAGGACCCGGTGCAGCAGAGAGGAAAAGGAAAAACAAACACAGAACAGCTCTTTCTTCTACCTGGCAGGCAGGTGGGGAGGAAGTGACCAGGCAGACACACCTGTGAGCAGGGTTAGCAGCCAGCTAACACAGCTAGCATGAAAGACAATCAAAGGAAGAGACTTCAACAAGAAGAAGGAGCAGCTCTGGGATCTAGACCCCGCTGGATGTTTCCTGGTCCTTCAGACAGTGCTGGATATTAACTGGTTTTGTGTCCTTCCACCTCTTCGGCCTTCTCCGACAGCTGCTCTGATGTCTGGACCTTTTGCTGGACCCAGGTTGAGATAAGTCTCATTTATTTCTTTTTTCCGTCCATGTCTCCAGGCTTCTCTTCTTTCCCTGGAGTCAGTTTAATTCTTCCCACCAGCCTCTGCTCACATAAACTCACCCAAACCGCTCAGAGTCGAACCGACTGAACCAAACCGTGTTGTTTTCTTTATCAGGACACCAACATGGAGTCAGCTTCAGGTCTGTAGTTGGTATTCTGCTGATGTCATGAGCTTTGGTCAGTGAGATGTTTCTGCTTGTTTCTGATTGAGTCTGTTCTAACCTGATCTAAACAGCTGAACTGACGCCTGTGGTCTCCGTCTGTCTGCTGGCGTTCAGTAACGAGGGACTAAATGATCTGTGCTCTCCTTCTAATGGGTCAGTGAGACATCTTTAAAGGTACAGGTGGAGGAGAACCTTCATTCCCGCCTGGCGCCGGCTCTTTTAGCGTGTTTTGGATCCCGTACGCTGCGCCGCTGTAATGTTTTCTGACGTGTGCATTTCAACTGAACCATGACTGAACATGTGTCCTGTGGTGTCTTTTAAGTTCAATTCAAAGAAGATTTGTAGCTGGATCAGAACACAGATGTCTTTGGTTCTAGCTGGACGGACATGAGAGGGATTAGAGCCGTGTGCAGGTGTTCAGGATGTTCAGAGGCCCTTCAACTGCTCCTGAGTTGGCTGCTCCGTCATTTTTACCTTCATCTGTCCTCTGGCCTGATGTCTGCAGTGTTTCATAACTTGCTTGAAGCAGTCGTGGATCTGCACCGCTGCTGAGACCACTGTGCATCCAAACTAAACGGTATCACTGAGAACTGGCGATACTGTCGACCTTACGACGCAGATGAATGACGTGTTGGTTAATCATCGCAGGATAAATGACTTCAGTAGTTCTGGCAGTTCCACCGTGATGGTTGGGAAGGTGTGGATCCACATTTATCCACCAGACACGTATGATGGAAGTGTCTGTCTCAAACAACAGGACAAACACCTTCACAGTGGAAGTCGTGGGAATCTAACGTCACAATCGTTTGATGTGGATGAGAATGAGAAAAAACAAGTCACAGGAAAGTGAGAATGGACGAGACGTTGTGAGAACCTCTGTGAGATGGAGCGGTCTGGCTCCATCAGATTATCTCAGAATGCTGGTCAGTGGATTTAGAGTTTCATTGAGCCACAGGAACAGCACAACTATTGAAGCTCTGGTTGTATTTTATGCTTTTTGAGAACATTTTGTTGGAAACTTATGAAGGGTGATGTGACTGTTAGCAAAGTCTGCACCAGATTTAGTCTTTTGTGAGGTTTTTTTTTCACACTTCTGTAGATGAATTACCAAATGATCTCAAAGCACCATGAGCATGAAGCTGCACTTGAACCCAGTAGAAGTGGTCCTCTGGTTTATCTCTGACTGTGTAGGAGCAGTGATGGCCATGCCAGCCTGGGGACTGACTCCAGTTCTGAGGTGTGTTGGTCAAGATCAATGACAGGAGAATCTGACTAATAAGATCCATGTCATAGATGTTGTTTTAGGAGAGTAAAATAATTATCTTTGAGCTTTAACAAAAATAAAAAGGCTACAAAGTTTGTTTCACATCATATGCACTGTCATCAGGGCAACACATCCCGAAAAAAAATCCACCATCCCCCTGAAATTCTTTTACATCTCGACTCCTGCCGACAACAACAGCGTCTGTCTTCAGATGTATTTAAGATGTGATATAAAACATCCCATTTGACAACTACTAGCCCAATGCAGACACCAGAAGCTGGACTCGTGATGTGGTGTTTGTGTGACTGTTCTTCTACTCACGTTCATCCGTGTGGCCTGCATCAGGTCCAGGATGGGCAGAACCTTCTTATATGTCTCGACTAACTCGGGAGTTTCCATCTCTTCCTTCTGTGGTTTCTTGGGAGTTGACAGCTTTCTTTTTCCCCTTTTGGCTTTTTCACACAAAAGACAAAGACAACAGCCATCATTCGACCACCTGGTCACAACTCCTCCTCTTGTCTCAGTAGCGTTTGGATCACTGATGGAAAGAAGTTCTTGTTGCTTCTCATGGACTTTTATTTTAAACAGCATAATTGAAATGTAGGTGGATGTGAGCAGCGGGCGTCTAGCTGAGTGAAACACTGTGTGTCCGTGTTGGTTTTCACCTTTGATTTATTCAGAGATCATTGAGATTCCAGCGGCGGCCGAGATAAGCTTTGCCAGGAGCATGGTGAACTCAGACATGGCTGCCATTGTTCACTCCTGTATGCTACAGGCCATGTAGGAGGCTGATCGCTCATAATACTACAGACTCAATAGAAAGCGCCAGCAGGCATCGCACTACAACAC